AAGGATATTTTTGTCCAATTTTTATGTTGTAGGGGTATGAGGTTAAATGTAAGGGTATGTGGTAAAATTTTCTATTACTATAGCTGTTAAAATGGATTAATTTATATGGGCCGACCCGTCAAACTTGAAAAATCATAGGGGAAAATTTTACCACATACCCCTACAATTATACCCATACCCCTTCACTAAAATTTTTTGGACCAAAATACCCTCGTGTAAAAAGTTATAATTTTTTGGTTTGTTTATCGGAAGACTTTTTTGGAAGTCTTCTGGTTCACATTTTTGATGGTTTGTTTACCGGAAGACTTTTTGGAAGTCTTGCGGTTCATATTTTTTTTGGTTTGTTTACCGGAAGACTTTTTGGAAGTCTTCCGGTTCACATTTTTTTTGTTTGTTTACCGGAAAACTTTTTGGAAGTCTTCCGGTTCATGCTTTTTTTTCCTTTAATTTTTAATTTTTTTAATATTCAAATTACAAATATATTTATTCTATTTACTCTATTTTAGTTAATTAATATATTTATTCTATTTATTTATTTAATAATAATTATTCCACTAATTTGATTTTTTATTAATTTATTATATTTATTTACTTAATAATAATTACTCCACTAATTTGGTATTGTTTTTTTTAATCAATAAAAATAAAAGTTGTGGGTGCGTTTGATACATGCTTACTACTTGAGACATGAAGATATTCTGACTAGAATGGTTAAGGGATCTGACTCTGGAATTTTCAAAGCGATTCTAATACAAAGCGACAAGCTAATGACCATACAGAGTACATGGGATGCTATGCTGCAGATGGGTAAATTCCATGGGAGGAAAGTGTATCAAAGCCTCCTACCTATTACTCCTAATGTTCCATGGGCCAAATTAATCCTTCACAATAGAGCTAGACCCCGGGCAATTATTACTCTCTGGACGATCTGTCATGGAAAGCTAGCAACCAAGTCAAGACTGTTCAGATTTGGCATGATCAACAATAACAAATGTGCTTTTTGCAATGAAGAGGAAACCATTGATCACTTATTTTTTGTTGTTGTGTGGAATTGAAGCAAATATGGAGTGGTATTCTTCAGTGGTTGGGCATTCAACACACTCCAAAAAGATGGCAAGAGAAAATGCAATGGGCTCTGAGCAATTATGGTGGGAAAGGCTGGTAATCTGATCTGGTTAGGTTTGCCCTTACAGAAACTCGATCTGGCTTTATAGAAACGAAGCCTGTTTTAATCATAGAACTGATAATAGGAATTGCCTTGATAGAATTATTTACAATATAATGTATAGAGGGTGGACTAGTCCAAAGCTTAGACCACGTATAGCTAGGCTTATTTTGCCTTAAGGTGGTTTGATTGTTTTGTGGGCTGGATCATTTGATCGCCTTGGTTTGTATGGTTTTTTGAATTAATGTCAAAATTTCTTGATTCAAAAAAATAAAATAAAAGTTGTTAACTAATTTATATATTGATTGTGTTCTTTAAAGAAAGAAAATTAACAATTTAATAATATGTTTATATGAAAAATAAAAATAAATATCATATTTAAATTATAATCCTATCATTTCTTCTATCAAAAATTTTCACAAAAAAATTATAATATATAACATTTATAATTATTTAAACAATATTTTATGGGGTAAAATATTAACTTTTAAAAATATATTTTATGGGGTAAAATATACTTTTAAAAATTTTCACCATAAAATATTAACTTTTAAAATTTGTAGGGGTAAAATATTAACTTTTAAAATATTAAAAACTAATTAAATCATAAATATTTAGCAGAAGAGTCTTAATGGAGGAAATTTTACCACATACCCCTACAATTATACCCATATCTCTACACTAAAATTTTTTGAACCAAAATACCCTCGTGTAAAAAGTTATAATTTTTTGGTTTGTTTACCGGAAGACTATTTTGGAAGTCTTCTGGTTCACATTTTTTTTTTTTGTTTACCAGAAGACTTTTTGGAAGTCTTCCGGTAAACAAATAAAAAAATATGTGAACCGGAAGACTTCCAAAATAGTCTTCCGGTAAACAAACCAAAAAATTATAACTTTTTACATGAGGGTATTTTGGTTCAAAAAATTTTAGTGTAGGGATATGGGTATAATTGTAGGGGTATGTGGTAAAATTTCCTCCATTAAGACTAGCCGGTATGGACCATGAATAGTCTGTTAGGTCTGCTTAACTATAAATTCAAAAAATATATATTAATATATATGTTCTTTCACTCCAAAACAAAATATTCATTTTTCTCACTTCATTATGTTTTATCTCTATTCTATTTAATGTTTCTCTTTTAAATATTATACATTAATATATTCAAATTTGTATTTAATGATGTTGTTTTGCTTTCAAATTTTCTTATATTCTATTAATTTATTTTTTATTAAATATTTAAGTATTATTTTATACAATTTAGATATCTATTAATATATTATAATATTTATAAAAAATAATATAATATTGATAAATATATTATATTTAAAATTATATAATTTTTATTGTATTTATGATAAATATTATGGAGTTTTATTTTAACTTTTGTATAAAAATTAATATTAAAAATAATTATTTAGGATTAGATAGTCCGAAAGCCGTAAAAATTCGAACTCGAATAGTAATCGTTTAGTACAACACCAAAATCTAAGTCGAGTAATCTATTGTAAAATGTCTAATTTTTAGAGATTTGGTGTTTGATATATTTATAAGAATTTAATTAATATGTACTATTATTCTGTCCGCCAATCATCTCATTTATTCTGTCATATCAGATTATAAATTTTAAATTAATTTTATGATATAGCAGAGTAATATATTTTTATTATATGATAACATAAAGTTATTTTATATTGTACATAAAAATTAAATTAAATTTATAATATATGTTATTATTCTTCAATGTCCATCCACGGTCTGTATTTTAAAGTTGTTAATATTATTCGGCATTATTATTACAATTATGAATGAGTATATCTACTCTAAAAAGCTCACGGATAAAATAGATCTAAATAGATCTTCAAAATACATTGAATAAACGCTTTTGAAAAATATGAGGATATAAAAAGGATATTATATAGGGTAGTAGTTGTTTTCTTAATAGTTAGTTTTATGAAATTTATGACTAACAAATCATTTAGTGACATTATAGTCCGATAGACATACAGAACAAAATCTACATCCGTTTTTTTTATTTTATATTATAAATAAATTTTACTTTTCAAATCTATTGAATAATTAATATATTTGATTTATATATAGATCAAATTTATTAATTTTATAATGAATTTAAAAAGTAAAATTTACTTATAATATGAGATGGAGTAGTATATAAATATGATATAGAGATTATTAAAATATTTATATAAAATATATATAGTAAGAAAAAAAAATTCAAATTGTGATGGTGATATAAAAATTAATTTAATTTTAAAGATTGTAATGATTTATCAATTTTTAAAGGAAAATTATGTTAATTGAAATAAATACCATTTAAAAATAATAGCGATATCCAAAAAAAAATATAGTATACATAATATAGGTTAGTGATTTATTTAATTACTAATATATTAATGTATTATTATAAGTATAATGAATGGTAAAATTTAATAAAAGAGAAGAAATGTAAGTTTTGTAAAAAAAATATTTTAATTTTAATTTTGAAGATAAAGTAAAATAAAAATTACTTTATGTACAGTAATTAAAAACATTTAGTTATTAAAAGTATAAAAAATAGAATTATTAAATGTAAGTGTAGTAAATATGTTTGTATATTTCAAAAACAATAATTTTTAGAATTATTACAATAAATGGAATAAAAACATATTTAAAAAACAATTACTTTTAGAATTATTAAACATATAAACGGAATATAATGTGATACATGTACCAAAAAGTTTTTCTTTATGTTTATGTTGAAATTCTAAAAGAGATTGTGACTTAAATTTATCAGTAGTTAATTTCTGTTAAATACCTACCTAGACTTAATCATTTAATGTAGGCTCTAAATAGCATGGGGAGTAGTGAATTTATAAATGCTCATGGAATGCACGCGTAGTTAATACCAACAGATTTGTCTGATTGTATTCCTTTTTTGAATGGTGAATTTAAAATAAAAAAAATATTTGCAAGACACTAACAATTATAAAACGAATTAATTATTTAATACTTATACTTAAATATAAAAATCATGCAATTCTTAATTAAATAGTTTAGCTCATAAAACAACCTTTACTTTCTTTATTGATATTTTGGTCCATGAGAATTAAGCTCACAAATCACAATCCACATCAACAAGCTTGTCCATAAGTGAATCCATTTTAGCTGGAGTTAATTCACTAATAAAATCACATCCATTTTCTCCACACGCAAACAAAGATTGCTATAAATATACAAAAATCATTGTCAGCCATAGAAATCATCTACATGCATGCATGCGCCAACCTTACCCATGCATTTTCAGTTGCTATTCCTTTTGCCGTTCAATTTTCATTTATTTTTAAAACTATATATTTTTTAATTATTTAGTAAAAATTATAGTTCCTCCAACTTTTTATTTCTTTATATAATTATAATTATTTAGTAAAAATTTATCCGTGCATGGAGAAAACGGCTAGTATAAATATCAATTTATAGCGCGGAAAATATAGAAGAAGACAGAAGTGCAAGAGTTCAACTGACGAAGGAGTAAAAAGCTGGAATCCATTCTCATTCTGCGTTGTAAGTGAAGTTCAACCCGCTGTAGTTTTTATTCTCTTTTACGCTTCCGTTACTGCTTATACTGAAACCATAAAGGGAAACTTGGACATACTTCAAAAAGTAAATTTCAAAATTCAACTTGGAGACTTTGTGCTCATCTAGGTTGTTAATTTCAAAACCTAACAAAGAAGTGGTGAGTGAAGCCATTTTCATTTTGTTGTCATGTAGGATGAAATGATCATGATCCTCTTTGAGTGCAGGTTGGCCGAGGAAAGAGAAAATTGTTATCTAGATTCCATGGATATTGCGTATGTAGATATTAGTTCGTCGGATGATGAGTTGGAAATATTAGATTCTGGGAAAATTCTTCCAAGCTGGGCTGCTTTTGAAAGGAATCCAGGTAGGCGATTTGACAGAGGCAATGATGGAGGTCGTTTCATGAATCAGAACGGCGGGACTAGAGCTCTTGGAAAGGCAATAACTCCACCATTTGCTAGTTCTAGTGAATCAGCGTACCGTTCTGGAATAGGGGATGAAAGGGCTCCTGAAACTGACGAGAGACTACTTTATGAAGCAGCATTACAGGTATTTCATTTCGTTTATCCCTGTATTTGCATTTATAACGCCTTAGATTCTCAAAATTGTATGAATGAAATATTCTGTCAGTTAGGTTTTCGTGAAAGGATCATTTCATCTCTTAATGAAAAACCTTTCCCTAATTGTGAATCCATATTGTGAAGCTTCATTTGGACGTAATATTAATCTTTATTGGAACGCAATATTGTTAATGATGATTTTGGTTGTTGCAGGAGATCAATCAACCATTAAAAGAAGTCGATTTACCTGCTGGTATAATGGCCGTCCCTCTTATGAGACATCAGGTATTATGGTCTGACTTATAACTGTTTCTCCCTCCATCTCACGATATTTGTTGCATTTGACCATAAGAATGTCAATACGGCAGTGGACATTTCCCAGTTCCCGCCACCTCTATCCCTGTTCTCCCCCACCAAATTCATTCCCCCGCCTCTATCCCTGATCTCCGCCACAGGAAAGTTTTTATGAAATATTTACTCATGGGTGGGGCAAGCTCTTCTATTCTGGTTCATGGTTTTTCTTGGCTATATTCATCACCATAGGAATTGGGTTCAAGCTTTCCCCAGCCCCTTCTCATCGATGGACTTCTGACGTATATGGAGTGTGGTTCGTTCGAGAAATTCTGACCGACTTTTCTATCTATTTCTTTCTGCCGTTCCCCGCGGATCCTATAGATATCTCATTAACAATTTATTTTTAAAAATCTATATTTTATATCAAAATAAATAAACCCTAGTATTTCACACACACATACAGTAGTATTTCACATTTATTATTATTTTTATTTAAAAAACAATGAGACAAAATAATAATACTTCTTCATAAGTAATAGTATGCCTAAAAGCTATAAAGTTCAAATATGTTTGAATAACTATACTTCATCAAATTGACTTCTCTATTTGAACATTTTACAAAGTTGATAAATGAAGGGAAAAGTGATCATTTTATTCGATTACCCATTTTAACTATTCACCTATATCCATATCATAAGTGAAAATTGGAGAATAATAACTTTGAAGTGGTGCACATGATATTAATTAGAAGGTATAGTTAGAAAACAGTAACTAATGTTGCATTAAAAAATTGAAAATGACAATTATTTTGAGTCAATTTTGTTGGTTCAAATATGGCAAATATTGTTGAACGGAGTATTATTTTGTTGTTATTTTGGATCATTTGTTTGTTATCACTTTATATTCCAGAAAATTGCATTGACTTGGATGCTTCAGAGGGAAAAAAGGAGTACTTTGCATTGCTTGGGGGGGATTTTGGCTGACGATAAGGTTAATCTTCGAATCATCATTTTTTAATCAGTAGCACATGGTATTTAACTGTTGGGTATTTTTATTTGAACTTCATAACATTGTTCAAACAGGGTCTTGGAAAGACAATTTCAACGATTGCTCTCATCCTAATGCAAAGGCAATTACAGATAAAATGGAAAACAGATGATACATGCAACCATAAAGCTGAAGCCTTGAATTTGGATGATGATAATGGTAATATTGATGTGGAAAAGCTTAAAAATGATGAAGAATCCAATGATACAAAACCTATTATTGAACCGAATAGTTCAACACGGGCCCCAAGTAGGAAAATGCCTTCTGCTGGTACATTGGTTGTCTGCCCTGCAAGTGTTCTTCGGCAGTGGGCCAGAGAGCTTGAAGAGAAAGTTGGAGATGAAAAGCTTTCTGTTTTGATCTTTCACGGGGGCGGTAGGACAAAGGATCCTGTTGAACTTGCAAAATATGACGTGGTTCTCACTACATACTCACTTGTGACTAATGAAGTTCCCAAGCAACCTTTAGTTGAGGATGATGATATTGATGAAAAAGATCGCGAAAATTTTGGCTTATCCTCTGATTTTTGTGTCAAAAAAAAGAGGAAAAGGGGAATAGATGGTTCTTCTTTCGATAATGCTTCTGGCGCTCTTGCAAAAGTAGGTTGGTTTAGGGTTATTCTAGATGAAGCTCAAACAATAAAGAATCATAGGACTCAGATGGCCAGAGCTTGCTCCAGCCTTAGGGCCAAAAGAAGGTGGTGCTTGTCTGGCACGCCTATTCAGAATACTATTGATGATTTATATAGCTACTTTAGGTTTCTGAAGTATGATCCTTATGCTGTGTATAAATCATTCTACTATACAATAAAAGTCCCAATATCCAGAAATCCAATTCAAGGTTACAAAAAACTTCAAATAGTTCTGAGGACTATAATGCTACGTCGAACAAAAGGTGATTTTTTTTTTCATAATCTGGCTGCTCATTTCTTGGCTGGATAGTTTGTATGAATTTTCCGTTTTCCTAGCTTGGTTAAGGTTTAAAGTGATTTTGCAATATTGTTGCTGATCTCCTCTCGAGTGAAGTTCATCACTATAACATACTAGGTATAAATATTTGAATGTTGCCTTGCTTTATTCCAAGGTCATACCACAATGTTCCAGGGTCTTATAGTGGTTATATACAAATAACTTGCCAATGGAGGACTGCCTATCTATTAAGCCAGCATTGATTGGCTAGATATACCTGCAAATTACAATAAAAGCATAAAAGCACACCAATTTAATTGATTCAATTTAGTCCTTCCCTTCATCACTATATAAATAATGAATTTATTATTTATTAATGGAGTATAGTATGCAAATAGTTTTATGTTGCCGATGTATTAAACTTTCTTGTTTTTGGAACTATGGTATTATTCCTTCTATTCAGTAAGTTCATCCTTAATTTCTGTTACCGAGTCTATGACCCTAATGTATGGTGTAATGAATTTGAGATTGTTTCCAAATGTTTTACCATAAATATAGTATTGTTCGGTTGAGGGAATGTATTGAACAATTTACTCATCAGCGTACTGGTTTGTTTGAGTGAGCTTGATTTTCTTTGAAGTTGAAGTCATGTTTACTGTATGAGGGTGATTATTGGTCTCTTATGTTTACTCATCAATTGATTTTATTTGTCCAGGAACTTTGCTTGATGGCAAGCCGATAATTACTTTACCTCCTAAAACAATTAATTTGAGTAAGGTGGATTTCTCGTGTGAAGAGCGGGCCTTCTACAAGAAGTTGGAAGCTGATTCACGTTCTCAATTTAAGGTTTATTTCCTCTCAAATTTCTTATATTAGCTTGGACATACTGTAATGATGCCATTTGTTTTTTCTTTTTGAAATTAGTGTCTAGAAATTTATTTTGATAGTGGGTCAAGTCAATCACGAATTATATGATTTTGTTATCTGATATTTCTATGCTGATGGATGTTCTCAGTTTGTAGTTCTGAAAACAAATGCTTGTAATTTGCAGGCATATGCGGCTGCTGGCACAGTGAATCAAAACTATGCAAATATTCTTTTAATGCTTTTACGTCTCCGTCAGGCTTGTGATCACCCACTTCTTGTTAAAGAATACAACTCTGATCCTGTTGGAAAAGATTCTGTCGAAATGGCAAAAAGGCTTCCAAAAGAGATGTTGATAAATCTGTTTAATTGTCTGGAAACAACTGCTGCTATATGTTGTGTCTGCAATGTGAGTTAATTTTGATCTGATACTTCATTATTTGTTTCTTTGTTGCAATTATGCCTCCTAAGAGTTTTTGATCTGGTATAGATCCTTTTCGTCGTATCTTACCCATCTTACTCTTCCTATGGTACATGTTTTGTTATTTGTCTAAAAATAAAATTAGTAGGAACACTTCTCTATGGTTTGAAATAGTAGCTATGCATTGTCATTAAGGGCTCTGGCTGATTTGTACTATGGTTTCAACAGGATCCACCCGGCGACGCTGTTATTTCCATGTGTGGCCATGTCTTCTGTTATCAATGTGTATCAGAACATTTGACAGGTGACGATAATATGTGCCCTGCAAATCATTGTAAAGAACAAATTGGCAAAGATCTTGTTTTCTCCAAAGCAACTTTAAGGAGTTGCATCTCTGACGATCTTAGTGGCAGTAGTTCTGGAAGTGCGAGCCTTGTTGATTATTCAATAGTACAAAATAGTGATTACAGCTCATCTAAAATCAAAGCCGTCCTTGAAGTTCTTCAGTCAAGTTGCAGATTGAAGGCTAATTCTAGCAACAGATATTCACCGCCTTCTGATGGTTCAGATATTGAAGATTTTGATTCAGATGTCAAAGTTACAAAAGTCACAAGAAATTATTCAGAGTGCACAACTGGTGGACCGCTAAAGGCTATAGTTTTTTCTCAATGGACTACCATGTTGGACTTAGTTGAGACATCAATGCAACAGTCTGGCATAAAATACAGGAGACTTGATGGTAGGATGACTCTGACTGCGAGGGATAGAGCTGTTAAGGATTTCAATACAGATTCTGAGGTTTGGCCCTTATCTAACGTGTGTTTCAAATGCTTAAACCTAGGTTTTCTTTAGTGGCTGGACTAACTTGGATGTTTTTTCTTCAGATTACTGTTATGCTGATGTCTCTAAAAGCAGGAAATCTTGGTTTGAATATGGTTGCTGCATGTCATGTTATTCTTTTGGATCTTTGGTGGAATCCAACTACTGAAGATCAAGCTATTGATCTAGCTCATAGAATTGGACAGACTCGTCCCGTTACTGTGACACGGATCACCATAAAAGATACAGTTGAAGATAGAATACTGGCTCTTCAGGTTTAATATCTATCAGTTGAATTTTATTTCATGTGCTAAAATGAGGTTATACTTGGTATACAATTGAGGTGATTTGTGACTTTATAATTATTTTCTTGTTCACCTGTATTGTGCAGGATGAAAAAAGGAAAATGGTGGAATCTGCTTTTTGTGAAGACCATGCTGGCGGTTCTGGAACTCGGCTTACATTTGACGATCTTAAATATCTTTTCATGGTATAGATTCCTGTTGACTATAGTATGTACTGTGACGGTCTTCAAGTTTTGTTTTCGATGGCTCCGCGTGAAGTTATGAAGGTGTATGGCTGTTTTTTGTTGGCTGCTGACATTTGTTGATCAAGTTAGCTGGTGAGGCCTGATTGATCGATGTAGTAACTTATATGTTTTGAAAGCCCACAAGGGCAATTTTGTTCTCCCAACTGCTATATAGCTTTATGGATATTACCTTTGGTGTACTTTTACAGTTTACATTTTCTTAAATACTACTTTACTCTGCATGGAAATCAATGAAAGGTTGTTAGGGTGATCCCTTTGGAATTACTGATCATAATGTGGAGCTAAGTTTATTGTAGTTTTGTTAAACTCACTCTAATTTAAACATGCATAAAATTGAGTTTGACTCCACCAGAGTAGTCAATAGCGGCTCTATTCCGCTATAGGGGAGTGGAGGCCGATTGCTAAGGGAAGAGTCGTAGCGGTGTAGAACACTATAGTAGTTGCCACAGGGTATATAGTGGGATAATGGAGCAGAGCGGTTCCCAGCCCGGATAATTTCTGGCCCGCCAACCTTTTCCCCTCTAAAAACACGAAATTAAATGTAGAATGTTTTAAGGTAGTTTTGGTGTTCTAAATCAAGTTTGAGTTGAGACTCAACTTTAACCTTCATTCGTTGTACTATGATTTGTGTTTTTTCAATCAAATTTGAATTGAGACTCAACTTTAACCTAGGATTCATAGTACTTTGATTTATGAATATTCTATAAATTGAGAGTTATTTGTTTAATTTTACATTAAATATGTTTATGAATATTCTACGAATCGAGAGTTATTTGTTTAATTTTATATTAAATATATGTTTATAACATGAGAAATGCTATCGAGTGTCCTGGACATTGGTTTGGTTAAGAGATTAAATAAGAAAATTGAAACTAAAATGATGTTTTTTTTAAAAATATATTTATTCAATCTACTTAATATAGAAATAAGTAACTTTTTTTTTAAAGATATTATGTATATTTTAATACACTGAAGATATAATATTTTTTTATTTAGAATTTTTAACCCGTGTCTTAGTAACACTGGTTAGCATGACCCTTATAATATTATATGTAATTTGTCCCCAAAACAATCGGTATAGATGTCATTTTGTAATACGTTATCCTACCATCTCATTTTAGGGGTCATCCCGTCATCTCACTTTTGGGGTTGGCCTCTTTTTGCTGCTATCGGGAATGACTACTTTGGACTCCACATCTAAGTTTGATTACATGTGATAAAAATAGATCTGCATTTGCATTTTACACTGCTTAGTGGAGTATCAAAACATGACGATTAAAGACAGTATATCCCATGTGATGTTATTTCTGGATCAAAGTGTACAATTGCATGATTTCCTTCCTTTCACCATTTTTCACCAATAATCTTGCCTTTTGGTGGGCCTATAAAAAGTGCTTACAAAACCATGGTGATAAAAAAAACAAAGTATCATTTTCACTTCTCAAATTACCTCATATAGATGATGATTGATCAATCCCTCTAAAAATGTGACATTTTACCTAAAACACACTTTCACTAGTATGCTTTATCACACTTTGATAATGTATTTTGATATATTTGAGCATATATGAATGTGGATTAAGAAAATTTTCACATATATTCAATTCTCTTCACATCACCACATTATAATTTATACAAATGGGACATGAAAGTATTTTGTGTTTACTGACAATAATCAAGCACATGAAGAAAAGAAAAAGACAAGAGTGATTTTTCTTAATCTCACATATCTCAAAAAGAGAAAAGGCATATGGTTGCACTCCAACTTGAGGTCCCAACCAACAAAAGTAGGTCATAGAGCCCCAAACAATGGTCTCAGACATCTATAATAGTGGTGGTGGCTCCCTTTCCCTCATGATTCAGTTTCTGTAGCAGCTTTCACACAATGGTAGAAAGAGAAGATAGAAGAGAGTGGAATCTGTTTAAGTGAAAGAAAGAAAAAAGTAACAAAGAAAAAAGAGAAGGCTCTCAGAGCTATGTCCAGTCATTAGTAGAAAGAGACCAACCAAATCATTTCTTTCCTACCCTTCAAATTGAGTAAAAGGGTCATCTTGATTCTCCTCATCACTCTTTACAACATTTAAAGATTACTCTTTTGCCCAACAGAGCTTATAACCTTTTATATGATTCTTTTGACCATGTTTAAGGTCATATTAGGAATGTTTGACCCTTATTATAGTACACAACTTTTGCACGAAAACTCAATAAAACTACTAGTTTCACATAAACTTTTAGTGGCTAATCAAAAGTGATATTAGACTATATAATATGAATATAACATTTGATGACCACAAATGTGGCTTAGTTATTCCATTTATCTAGTACAATTCTTATGTTACATTACTAACACTAACAAAATTTAGATTGTTACATCACACTTAACATACATTGGGTCCAAATCCCACATATCCATTAGCTCCATCTACTGAAATTTCAATCCCTTCTTGTTGGATGTTTCCTATGATGGAAAGGCCAGAGGGAGAAGAAGCAAATGCAAAGCAGAAAGTTCCAACATCATCAACTGGAATTAAGAAGTTTCTTGCTGGAAGGGTCAGTATAGGCCCACCCAAGAAATAAAATGATATGGTTGGAACTCGAACCGTCATAAACCCGTTTAAATCATAACAAGTGTCAAAAATGGATACCCCGGATGATGATCGGGGCAGGTTCGTCGTTTGAGCAATAAATGCATCTCGAAAGGCGTCATAAGCTGCCGTGGGCAGCCTCGTCACGGCTGTGCCAGTGTCCATGACCACCCCTCCCTCACCCAATTCGTTTAACCGAAAAACATCTTCCGATATAGGCACCCTCAGGCCCCCAACTCCTAGACCTGAGAGCCCGATATAATAAAAACTCGGAGCCCGTGGATTATGGATCAGAGAAACCCATGAAGCGCCCACGGGCACCGATTCACGTCCGAATTCAAGTGATCCGGACGATTCAGTGCCCCGACTAACTAAACAATAACTAAACATACTACCGGTTTGTCCGCCCAACTGGCCCACAAAAGACATGGGGCCACTCCCAAGGCCCAACAACCCAGCTGCTCCTACGAACATCCCCTGGTTCCTATGCCCGCACCCGATAGCCACGTTTTGGATCACAGTTCCTCCCAATGTAACAGTTTCAAGAGCAAGTGTTCCTTTAGTATATGACCCGTCCCCATAAGAAACTTCATATTTGCACCTCCCTTCATGACATCCTGCATTCTCCACACGGCTGCACACGGTGGAGCCACAAGACACACCCGAATAAGACGATGAATCATCCGGGTTAAAAACCGGGTCGGATTGTCGATAACATTGAGTACAAGGTTGACACTGGACCCAAATAATGTCACTGCCGGAATCAATAACCACGTATTGGTTTTTTGGCGGGCTTCCAACTCCTATTCTAACAAAATACTCGCCACTTCCTTGCTCCATACCCGAAACCACATCAGACCCGAATTCCTCTGCTTCGTACCCGGAAGCTCCGGCGATACGGCGCACAACGGCGGCGACCCTTTTGGAATCTCTTTTCATTCGTGCATTGAAACGGCTGCGATGATCACGGGAGATGTTAAAGGTAGGGACTTTATCTCTGTGAAGTAGCTTCAGTTTCTGTTTTCCTGATTCTGATTTCTCACCCTCGGTTTCAGTTTTGGCTTTTTTGTTTTCTTGGGGTTGTTTGGTTGAATGAAAAGGCTTCAACTTCAAGTTTAGCTTTGTTTCTGCAATGGTTTGTTTCACGTTGAGGTGTTGGAAATTAGGGTATGAAAGGTTATGTGAAGGTGATGAAGTTGAGGTGGATAGAAAGAGCAATGGTAGAAGAAGCAAAACCAAACCCATGATGTTTTATTTGTTTATGTATGAGAGACAAGGTTGTTGGTGTTTATGTTTGGGAAGTATAAGGAGTTATGTTGGAAATGTGTGTGTGGTGGAGGGATTTTATTTGGTTGGATTTTGGGACTGTAGGGAGAAAAAAGTTGATAGTGTGGAAATAATTGAATGTGGGGAAGTATTTGTTGTTGTAGTTTAGTATTTGGAGTGGTTTTTGTATAAGTATGAGAGAGTGAGTGGAAAGGACCATGCATGTTTGGGGTGGTGATTTACAGCAAGATGGAAAGGTAGTTGGTGAGGTGTATACATTTTGTTAAGAGATTTGATGAGGTAAATAAAATCATGATCCTTAACTTTTGATTAATCTACTTTCCTAGTTAGATATAGAGCATGTAATTGGTGTTTTCAATGGGCAAATAGCTACTAATGTAAATATCAAACCTAACATTAGAGGAACATTATATATGACATTAACATTGATGAGGCGACATCAATAATTATTTAAATTTATAATAAAATTGAACATAACATATGTTTTGATGTCTTGTTCGTATAGGATATTGACCTAGGTCAAACAAATTGTTTTTTATATATTTATTTTTAATTTTTATAATTGATGGTTGTGTTAGAGAGGCTAAAACCAATTTGAGAGATGGTTTTTGTTTTAGAGTTTAAGACAATTGGAGTTGCTATAAATGGAGGGACCCATTTGTGTCTTTTTGTGACTTTTATAGTCATGCCAATTTGATTTGATTAATGGGAAGAGAAAGGAGAATTAGAGACAGTTTTTTGTGGGGAAGAATGTAATCAAGGAGTGTATGGCATTTGATATTTCATTGTACTATTTGAAACATACGATAATTAAAGTTTCAAGGAATTTCCTATTAGATCAGAAAAGAAGAAACTATGTAACTATGTGTAAAGTGGAATATACACACATTCACTAAATCAGACAAATATTTAGGACATTACTGCTCTTTTCTCACATACTTTTCTTCCTTATGATTTATGGGTATTTTTCAAGAAATTAACTTGAATAACAATCCACGTTCATCCATTATATCTATTTGAGTTTTTTTAAATGAATCTCACTCAATTCTTTTATATTATATTATACTTTTAAAT